TGGTTTGCAGGCATCCAGATGCCCCCAACCAAACCGAATTAATATCTCCAGTAACAGCTCCAGTGCTACGCCAAGCAGACTACGGACCTATTGCCCACAGCTCGCAGGCCATCTTGGCCAGTCTTTTGTCTTCCCCCCACCAAGATCACTACCGTCTTCACCCCAAAATAACGCCCGGGCGTTATATTCAACTTACGCTAAATATATCAGATTTTTGTTTTTACTCGCTTTTCTTCAAATAGAACCCTCCTTCGAATATAACGCCCGTATATTCGAATAGAACACCCGGGTGTTATATCCGAATAGAACGCCCAGGCGTTATACTTGAATGTTCCATGGGCAGAGTGCCTTGTCGAGGTAGTATACATGGGTTTGAAAGGACAGGGAGGGGGATATACCTGGGTTTTTGAAGGAGGTTGAAAGTGGTTAAGACTTCCAAGGGGTATATTTCGGTTTGATTTTTTTGTTTTACTTTTTATTTCCGAGTTCATAAGGAATTCTGAAGTGACCCCCAGCTCTTTTGAATTGTGAGGCTTTGTAGGCATTGTTGATTTTTTTCTTTCCCAGGGATGCGGAATGTCAGGACAGCGGCCCAGTTACCCCCAGTATTGCCCATCTCTGCTTGCCTGGACACACCCAATTGCCTGCACCTAAGCTGGGTAATGGTCCCAGATTTTTACTCCGGGTTGTTTATGGAGGTTTTCCCGGTCTCCCCTTTCTGATAATACAATGAGCCGAGTTTTCTAAAAAAAAAAAAAAAAAAAAAAAAGCAGTGACCCCCAGCCAAAAGTTGGTCGCGTTGCAATTCTGGACAACAATTTTTTTCACAGAATTTTTTGAATTATTTTGTTTTTCGGAATTTTGGGCCCCACCGAAGTTGCCACCAATTTCCTAAATATAACGCCCGGCCGGCGTATACAACGCCTGGGCGTTATTTTCGTGTGCAGACGGTAGTCCAAAACAATCTAGGCAGAATGGTACTGCCTTACATCCTCTCTCTCTCTCTCTCTCTCTCTCTCTCTCTCTCTCTCTCTCTCTCTCTCTTCGTCATTCCATGGCAAAAGAAATTATGTTCGCGAATGCCAATACGTCCCTCTGTTGCTCAAGGATATATTGCAGTCAGAAAACATGAATTCCCTTGTCCCTTTCCGCAATGCTATTCCGGGAAGCCATATTCCTATTCAGTCATAAGAAAGGGGAATCCACACAAGACTGAACAAAGAAAAGAGCCAGAAAGGTACGAATGGAGTACATCCCAAAGCGGTGAGGAGGCCACTGGGGGCGGAAGGGGCGATGAGGAAGGAGAGGGCGAAGAGAGGACGGGGAAAAGTAGGAGAGCCCTTCAAAAGTACAAACCGTATGTCGTTCAGGACATCCGTTGAAATTAAAACGACGGAGAGAAGGGAAATACACATGCGACTTGCCCATTCATTCAACGATTACACGCACAAATCGAGAAATGGTCCAAAGTTCCAAACTATCGAAAGATGAAAAAAACGTGTGAAGTATGAATGGTCAAATTGCCAACGAGCACAAATTCGCCCGGGAGCCAGGAGAGTACGCGTACGAAGGAGCACTCCTACTGAAACTGCCAATGAAAATGAATGCGAGCGGGAAAGAACAACGACGAGCCGTCGGATGTGAAATAAATATGCCGAAAAATACAAATTTGACCATAGTGATCCTTAGGTAGTGTAACGTGCAATTGAGAGGGGGGGGAAAAAAAAAGAAAAAAAAAAACTCACGGTAAGTACTCTCGAGTCTCGAATATTAAACCCACCAGGTATGAACACAAGAATATTAAACCCACCAGGGTCGAGGTCCCACTTGGACGGGCTAAGAGGTACCGGTCGTTGATCCTTCTACCTTGTTATCTACGGCCAATATCCCTGAATCCGAACGTTTGCGATATAGAGCCAAGTTCAAATCCAGATATACAATCAGATGACCAGAATAAAATTATTGTGAATTACGTGGGGCCGGTCAGATCCATGATGATATCTCAAGGCTGTCGCACTTTTCGAAAAAAGGGGACACAGAAGAAGGGGAAAAGGGAACGGGGGGGGGAGGGCGGAGGACACGCCCCACTGCAAATACCCTTCCTCCGAGTCTCCGAACATTGCGCCAACTGTGCAAAAGGAAGTAGCGCTTTCAATGTGCCTGCCTGCGACCGGTACAACATGCACTCGGTGAGCAGCTTTTAAAAAGCAAAAACAAAAACAAAAAATGGCCCGATCGACCACGCGTCTGATATTAAGCCGATCAGAACCGACACTAACACTCGATCTTAGCCAAAAGGCCGAGAAACGGGCCAGCAGGGGTATTTGCAATGGTGCGTTACATTCCGAAAAAGTCAAACAACGAACTGAAATGCGAAGGAACACAGTGGCGCAGTGAAAAGTGAGAGAGACACCCTACGCATTCAAGGATGACACGCACAAATCGAGAACGACGAGAAGTGCTCAGAGAGAAAGACAAGTTAAAGAAGAAGAAAAAAAACAGAGAGAGACATCGACTATCAACAGAAGTAGGATGGAGTAGGAGCTTCAGCCCGCCCAATTCTCTGAGACATACACGGACATCTTCGTGTGCTCGAACACCCGTACACGCCTTTGGCACACACACACACACACACACACACACACACACACACACACACACACACATCTGGCACTGTCATGCTTTCTTTGAGTGTAGAGCGAATATGACAACACACACAAAAACACGCACGCACACACACACACACACACACACACACACACACACACACACACAGATCTTACGCAGATGAGAAGCTCGACAGCTTACCCAGTACCCATTTGTTCATTCATTCAGTCCACACAGAGAGGCATCGACTATCAAGAGAAGTAGGATGCACAGTAGGAGCTTCAGCTGCCCAATTCTCTGAAACACACACAACGCACGGACATACACAGACATCTTCGCGTGCTCGAGCACGTGTACACGCCTTCGGTACACACACACACACACCTGTCTCTTATACACATCTAGATGTGTATAAGAGACAGGCCCTGGACTAGGCTTGATGGGATCTTCGCGGTCGTCGACCGCCTCACCAAGTACCCCATGTTTTTGCCTTGCCGCTATCACGCAAAGGCACCGGAGTTAGCCGAGGTCTTATACACCGGTTGGATTCGCTCCAAGGGC